GCATCTTTTCATGTGTTTATTGGTCATTTGTGCCTCTTTAGAGAAATGTCTGTTAAAGTCCTTTGCCCATTTTTGAATCAGTTTGTTGTTGTTGTTGTTGACTTTCAGGCGTTCTTCATATATTGTGGTCATTAATCCCTTATCCAGATACATGATTTGAAAATATTTTTCTCCCATTCTGTGGTTTCTCTTTATAGTGTCCCTCAATACACAATTTTTAAATTTTGATGAAGTTCAGCTTATCTCTTTTTTTTGTTCCCTGTGCTTTGGGTGTCATATCAAAATCACTGCCAAATCGAATGTCATTAAGCTTTCCCCCTATGTTTTCTTCTAAGAGTTTTTATAGCTTTAAGACTTACATTTAGCTCTTTGATCTATTTTAGTTTTTGTGTATGGTGTGAGGTAATGGTCTAACGTAATTCTTTTGCATGTTGATATCCAGCTTCCCCAGCACCATTTGTTGAAAAGATTGTCCTTTCCCCATTCAGTAGTCTTGTCATTCTTGTCAAAAATCAGTTGACTGTATATTTAAGAGTCTATTTCATTGGTCTATATTGTCTGTCCTTATGCCAGTGCCACACTCTTTTGATTACTGTACCTTTGTAGTAAGTTTTAAAATCAGAAAGTGTGAGTCCTGTAACTTTGTTGCTCTTGTTCAAAATTGTTTTGGCCATTCGTGATTCCTTGAGATTCTGTGTGAATTTCAGGATAGGGTTTTCTATTTCTGCAAAATTTTCTATTGGGATTTTGATATGAATTGCACTGAATCTGTAGATTGCTTTGGGTAGTAATAATCATGTTAACAATATCGGGTCTTTAAATCTGTGAATGCAGGGTGTTTTGAGGACTTTAAAAATTTCTTTCAGCAGTATTTTGTAGTTTTCAGGTATAAGTCTTTCGTCTCCTTTGTTAAATGTATTCCTAAGTATTTTATTGTTTTTGACACTATTATAAATGGAATTATCTTAATTTCCTTTTTGGAAATACCTAACAATGAATACATTGCTAGTGTATAGACATGCAGCTAATTTTTGTGTGATTTTATATCCTGTCTTTTCATTCTCTTGACAGAATCTTTTACAGAGCAAAAATTTTTAATTTTAATGAAGTCCTGCTTATAAATCCTTCTTTCATGGATTGTGCCTTTGGTGTTGCAACTGAAAAACCATTGCCAAACCCAAGGTCATCTTGGTTTTTTCCTGTGTTATTTTCTAAAAGTTTTATAGCTTTGATCCATTTTGTTAATTTTTGTGGAGGATATAAAGGTCTGTGTGTAGATTTTACTTTTTATTTTTTGGCAGGTTAATGTCCAATTCTAGTACCATTCGTTGAAAAGACTATCCATCCCCTATTGTTTTGTCTCTGCTCCTTTGTCAAAGCCAGTTGACTCTATTTATGTGAGTCTATTTCTGGGTGCTGTATTCTGTTCCACTGATCTGTTTTCTTTCTTTCACTAGCACATTGTCTTGACTAATATAGCTTTGTAATAAGTCTTAGAGTAATATTCTTCCAGTTTTGTTCTTCATTGTTGTATTTGCTATTCTTTATCTTTTGCCTTTCCATAATAAAACTTAATTTTGTCACTATCCACAAAATAATTTGCTGGTTTGAGATTGCACTGAATCTGTGCATCCAGTTGGGACATATTAATAGCGTTTTCCTATCCATGAACACAGGATGTTTTAATGTCTTTTAAAATTTCTTTCAGCAATGTTTTATAGTTTTCAGGTACAGTCAATTTAACTTTTTAACTTTTAAGGTTTTCTGCATGAGATCATGTGATCTGTCAACAGAGATGATTATACTTTTTCCTTTTCATTTTGGATGCTTTTTTTCTTGCCTAATTACTCTAGCGAAAACTTAAAATACTATGTTGAACAGGAGTGGCAAAAGTGAGCATCCTTGTCTTCCTGATTTTAGAGGAAAAGCTTTCAGTCTTTCACCATTGAGTGTGATGTTCACTATGGTTTTCATGTATGGCTTTTGTCATGGTGAAGTTTTCCTTTTTTCTAGTTTGAATGTTCAAATGATTTTAAATGTGGAAAATTATGTTTTTTATGCAATTTTTCCTTTCTTCATTTCTTATTTTCCCTATGATCCCCCTTGTCCCTACCAAGGCCATAGCTTTTTATGTGATGTAACAAATACTTGCTGATGAATGTGTCCATGACATCACTTCAGAGCTCACAAGTACCATAGTGATCCATCTGAAGGGATTCTTAGGGCCAGCTAGTCTGTCTGCTATGTAGTCACTGCTCTTGGTAGCCAGAGACGTGTAACTTGGGAGGCCCCTGAGGACAGCATCACTCCATTTGCAAGTTTGTGTGTAGTGTCTGAGACTTGCTTCAGGAAGTATAATGTCAAAATATTGTAATACATCCTTTCCAAGGAACTATTCTTGACATAAAATAGCAGGTTGGCAATGTAGTATTTGTGGGAAATTGAGGAAATAATGGTAACTGTCCAGTGGAAGTTAAGAAAGGTTCAAAGAAGGAAGTGAGAATTGAGTTGCAGGGAGGCAGTAGGATATGCCTTCTAGGTACTGGGCTCAGGCAACAAAGGCATATTCAAGACTGTCTAGGCCCCTGATACACAGGGCCTGTCTAGTCCTCTGTCACACTTTGCCTCCAGTTTCCTTGAAGGGATGCTGTCTGCTACTGTCACGGACAGAAAGGCTATGGCCTGGAAACTTGAGTACAGAGACGAGTGCTTTTCCATACACAGCTAGGTTTCTGTTTGCTACCCAACTTTAATAAATATATTTTTTAAAGATATATACCTGGTCTATAAAGACAGATGATTAACATAAAAGTCAGGATAACAGCTACTTCTGGGCAGAGGAAGGGGAATGATCTTTGGTAAGAAGCACATGGGCACACTGGTTGCCCACTGCATAACTCTAGGAGATGCCATGCCGTGCAGAGTCCATAGGCATTCATATTTTTTCTACAGAGTAACGTACATTTTATATAGATTTATGAATATCTGATTACATCAGGAATTGGCAGACTCTCTCAAAAGGACCAGAGAATAAATACAGTAAGTCATCATTTAATGTCATCAATAGGTTCTTGGAAACTGCAAGTTTTAAGGCAGAATGGCATACAGGAGGTCCTCCAGTAAGTTTCCTTTAACGTTTAGTTGTAACATTGACGAGGGAAAAAAATGGTTTCTTTATACCTTGTTTCACATAAAGTCACAATTTTCAAGAACCTGTCATGACATTCCTCAATGTATTTTAGCCTTTGCAACCCATAAGGTCTCTGCCCCAGTGACTCAGTTTGGTGTAGTGGAAAAGCAGCCAAAAAATAATGTAAACAAATGGGCATGGCTGTGTTCCAGGGAAACTTTATTTACAAAACCAGGTGACTGGCAGGATTTGTTTTAGGGCTATAGTTTACCAAACCCCAGGTTACACAATTAAATCTTTAAAAGAAAAAAGAAATATAGCTGTGATATATCTAGGAACTGAGAGTACAGAGTCTAGACAGAGACAGTTGATAGCAGAGCCTTCTGTGATCTATGTTTATATATTTTTTGAGATGGAGTTTCGCTTTTGTTGCCCAAGCTGGAGTGCAATGGTATGATCTCAGCTCTTTACAACCCCCCACCTCCCAGGTTCAAGCAATTCTCCTGCCTCATCCTCCTGAGTAGCTGGGATTACAGTCATGCACCACCATGCCCACCTAATTTTTGTATTTGCAGCAGAGACGGGGTTTCTTCGTTGCTCAGGCTGGTCTTGAACTCCTGACCTCGTGATCCACCCGCCTCAGCCTCCCAAAGTACTGGTATCACAGGCATGAGGCAACACACTCGGCCATCTATGTTTATTTTTAAATGATCTAAATTTGACTTTTTTAATGAGCTTGGAGCTTTGTCCTCTATACTGTAACACATTGACAGGTAACTTCAATTGAAACTTTGAATTCATCAGGAAACCATTTTCTCAGAATTATCCAGATGAATTCATTAATAGTAAAACCAACATAATTGATCATCACCAGATGTCAGGCGTGATGCCAGGTGCTTTACACATGTTATTTCTCTTCATTACAATAGTTCTTCAAAGTAGGTATTTTTTGTCTTCAGTTTGCAACCGAGAAAGGTTAACTTTTCTAAGGTTGTATAGCTAATAAAGCTGAGATTTTAAACCTGGGTCATTCTGCTTCAAAGTTCAGTCTTTTTTCTACAGTACATTGCCTCTGTATAAAAGGCATCTTGTTTTAATGCTGCCAAAATCAATTTGTTTATAGATTGTCTTCGCAGTTTTACTGACTTAGAAGAACTTGATGAGACAGAGTTATATATGTGCCATAAATGCAAAAAGAAACAAAAGTCCACAAAAAAGTTTTGGATTCAAAAACTACCCAAGGTGAGTGTTGAATTTCAAATTATGAAGCAATTTCAAGGGGAAAATGCTTGACTCATAAGACCATGTCTATAACTTTATACTATATGAACTGTTCTGTATTTGTCGCTAGGATTTTCAGTAAAAGTTAAACCCTTTACAGAATGAATGCATAAGGTATGCGTGGAGGAATGATAGAGTAGCTAAAATGTTATTTAAGAGACTGTAGCATCGAATTGATAGTACTATCAAACTTTTGACTGAAAGGTAAATTAGGTGTTCACAATCTTTGACCTCATCTCTGTCCTCCAGGTGCTATGCTTACATTTGAAAAGATTTCATTGGACAGCATATTTAAGAAATAAAGTTGATACATATGTAGAGTTTCCACTGAGAGGCCTGGACATGAAATGCTACTTACTAGAGGTAAGGTGATTACCTTTTTAGCATGGTGAAAAGACAGCTCTTCAGTAAGACTGTCATCACATGGAGAGGGTAGAAGTCATCGAGATAGGAGATGCTGATGTCACTGATCACTGTTACTAACTCCATCCTGTGGATGCCTTCTTCCTTGTTCTGTAGCCTGAGAACAGTGGCCCAGACAGCTGCCTGTACGACCTCGCTGCTGTGGTGGTGCACCATGGTTCCGGGTGAGTACGGCAGCCAGCTTCTGTTGGATGGGAGTACCTGGTGGCCAGCACAGTGACCTGCAGTTTTGTACCACTCTTGATAGTTCTCCCTAAACTCTGAAAAAAAATGGATTGAGATACAGTTAAGTGGGTGGAATTTCCTTCAGTTTTGGTGTGGAAGAGTACTCCTGAGATGGTGTTGTGAAACCTTAAGGGAAGGTATATGAACGTGAAACGGAGGTTCATTTGAACCCAGTCTGTTTGTGCTCAAAATCCTGAGGCATCCTTACTTCAAATAGCTTACTACTTTGCCATATGAAATTTAAATGGGTCAAAAAAGGGGAAATTATTTGGAATACCTTACTCCATGTCATCTACTTTAAAGACTCATTTTAAATCTTAACATTATTTTTCCCCCTCTGAAAGTTTGTTAGGGGTCTGTCCTTCTGGTGTTTGGTCTGAGGGTAGCTACTTTACCTTCCAACTTTAGACTACTCTATCCATGTTGAAAATCCTTTTCCTGCAGAGCTCTGAAGTCACGGCAATGTCTACACTCACACAGTGTTATAAATGACAGTCATATTCTCACTACTTTATAGGCATCTGGCTTTCTTCTCCTTGGAAGTTTGTAGGATCCTCTATCTTTGGACTTAAATATCATTAAATGTATTCCTGCTTGGTAGTTGGTAGGGACACTTTTAGTTTGGTGCCTTCAGCTCATAAAAATGTTTATACTGCAGGTCTGACCCCATTCTTGCTTTTCTGTTCTGAATTTCCTGGATCTCTTTTCCACATGTCTTAAATATTCTTTAATCATTTCTGTCTCTGTTTCTAAAGACTGCCATGGCCTACTTTTCCAAATCACCAATTTGGGTTTCATCTGTATCCAAATAAAAGATTAGCTCCTCCATATAATATTTATATTGCAGCAATCACATTTTTCTGGTAACTTTTTCATAACAGCCTATTATTTTATGGGTTGCACTATCTTTTTGAAACTGTTAGCACTAATTAAAATTTTTTTTTTTTTTTTTTTTTTTGGAGACACTTTCACTCGTTACCCAGGCTGGAGTGCAATGGCACGATCTCGGCTCACCGCAACCTCCGCCTCCTGGGTTCAGGCAATTCTCCTGCCTCAGCCTCCTGAGTAGCTGGAATTACAGGCACGTGCCACCATGCCCAGCTAATTTTTTTGGATTTTTAGTAGAGACGGGGTTTCACCATGTTGACCAGGATGGTCTCGATCTCTTGACCTCGTGATCCACCCGCCTCGGCCTCCCAAAGTGCTGGGATTACAGGCTTGAGCCACCGTGCCCGGCCCTAATTAAAAATTTTAAAGGTCTCTTAGGTTTCCTGCATTCAGTTCCTCAGGGTTGATTGCTTTTTCTTCCTAGTATTTCTTCCCCTTAAAAATGTGATTTTTGTAGGAGTGCAAAGGCTTAAATATTTTTAAAATTTGGTGTTGGTAGTTTATTCTGAATCATAGTAAATGATGAGATGGGTCTTTATTGTTTAAACAGGGTTTTCCTGGCAGTTACAAAGGTCTGTTCTACTTGCAGGTCTGACTCTAAGGTTCCTTGTATGAGTGGGTAATTCATGCTGACAAGGAAGAGCCCCCAGTGACCACGGTATCAGAGAAGTGTGCCCTCTTTGTTAAGCTTAGTTTTTTCCCCAAGATTCTCACGGGAAAATCTGGTACTCAGTTTTCCGTGTTTCCATAGGCCTTGACCTATGCTTGTTAGGTTGAGAGTTCCTCATCTCTGTTTCCTCCGTTAGTCCAGGACCATCTGCTGTGTGTTCTAGCAAACCCTCAATTTCTGGTCAGTTTGGAGGAAGGTAAAAACATGAGATTAAAAGTCTGGGATATATTCTTTACCTATTAAAATTTAAATCTAACATGATATAGTTGTACAGATCCTTTTATGATTTCTGACGTTTTTCTTTGGTCTTCTGCCTCTTCTTTACAGGGTTGGTTCTGGACATTACACAGCATACGCAACTCACGAAGGCCGCTGGTTCCACTTCAATGACAGTACTGTAACACTGACTGACGAGGAGACTGTGGTGAAGGCAAAGGCCTACATCCTTTTCTACGTGGAACGCCAGGCCAAAGCTGGATCAGATAAACTTTAATACCTCCTCCTAATCATCATTTGTCAACCATACCGGAGAAACATTTCCAGTTTTCCACAAATACTTGATCCAAGATTTAATTTCATTATGCACTTTTCAATTTCCTATTTTGGGTTTAGTTTTGTCAATGGTAGTGACTTACTGAACATGAGCACCAACTAATTTTGTTGTTGTTCTACAAGAAAACCTCAGCAGATGTTTTGATTTGCTGCTTTAGTTGTAATAATTCAATTTTTATATGTAGTTTTAAGAACTTAGTCTTATTTGACTTTTTTATGTTAATGTTTTCAGTTCTCACTTTGAGGCACATTTACATCAATGCTTTTGTTACTCACATTTGCTGAAAGCAAGATTTTCACAGCTGTAGTGGAGAGATCAGGTTGACTCTAAATCAAGGATCATGTCTGTACACTTAACTTGTTGCCCACAAAATTTCACAGTGACTGCTGAGCAATCATTCTTTTTGCCTGTAAAAGATAACAAAGGACATCATTAAGTAGACCAGGTAATTACTGCTTGTCTCAAGGCTGCTGTTTATCAGCACTAACTAAATAAATTTGTTGGTTCAGTTGTACCTGTCCTGCAAATACAAGAATTACTCTTTGTTGGCTTTTTTGGTTTGGGGGCATACTTGTTTGTGGGGAGGTAAGATGGGAGTAAAGACCAAATACATTTGATGTTTTAAAAACATCACTGACATGGTATACGTGTTACCCAGTGAGGTAAAGCCATGGCATCTGCCTCCTTTTTGAATTGTAGCACGGGATGTCACTGTGTGTCCACTTTAGACTTACTGCTTGTTTGGTATCTGAGTCTGAGGTGTGAACTTCTGGTATGTACTTGAATCATCACCTGCATTTTCAGTTCATCACTAGGGGAGTCCGCTTCCACAGGAGGAAATTTAGTCTTTGCTGCTCTGGGTTTTAACACCCCTCATTGGCCTATCCTGATAGCAGAACAAGGTGAAAATAATCTCATTTCGAGTAAGTAGTTTTTGTGGTTTAGTTTTTCTTATGGAGACACAGTCTCCTTCTTTTGCCCAGGCTGGAGCGTAATGGCACCATCTCGGCTCACTGCAACCTCTGTCTCCCAGGTTCAAGCAATTCTCCTGCCTCAGCTCCCGAGTAGCTGGGATTACAGGCACCCACCATCACACCCAGCTAATATTTTTTATTTTTAGTAGAGACAGAGTTTCACCATGTTGGCCAGGCTGGTCTTAAATTCCTGACCTCAGGTGCTCCACCCGCCTCAGCCTCCCAAAGTGCTGAGATTATAGGCATAAGCCACCATGCCCAGACTGTTCTATTAAAAAAGAAAAATGGTCAATATGTTTTTAAGCTTATGAATGTAAAAACAGTCTGGTGGGCTGGGCGTGGTGGCTCATACCTGTAATCCCAGCACTTTGGGAGGCCGAGGCAGGTGGATCACGAGGTCAGGAGTTCGAGACCAGTCTGGCCAATATGGTGAAACCTCATCTCTACTAAAATTACAAAAATTAGCCAGGCATGGTGGCAGGCGCCTGTAGTCCCAGCTACTCAAGAGGCTGAGGCAGGATAATCATCTGAACCTGGGAGGCGGAGGTTGCAGTGGGCCGAGATGGTGCCACTGCACTCCAGCCTGGGCAAGAGAGCGAGACTCTGTCTCAAAAACAAAAAACCAGTCTGGTGGCTCTCCCTCAGGTTGGGTATCTGAAGTTGTAGGAGCAGGTATAGCTCCATTTCCATTTTAATATTAACTGGATAAATCCCCTATCTTCCCAGAGCATATCGGCTAAACACTTTAACATGACGAGGAGCAAATTGCAATTATGTATAAACTTATATCCTCCAATACTATGCCTCCTAGCTACAAGTGGTTATTGAAGTTTAAATTAGAAACTCATTTCCTTCAGTTACACTCACCACCTTTCAAGTACTCAACACCCACATATGGCCTAAGACAGGGCTGGCCTAAATTTTCACTCCAGAGCATAGTTTGCCAATCATGCTGACATCTTACAATTTAGAGTCCTAAAAAGTCATACGGAAATGTGTGCTTAAATTAATTCACAATGCTAAATTATATTAGGTTAACTTGTATGAAACTGCTATTTGAAGAGTTTGAGCTACAAAAATGACAGTTCCACCTGATCTGATCTATCAGTACATCACCACATCTAATTGAACCTGAAATGCGAGTTGCCTTTGATCTTGGGAAGTATTTCCTATGAATCCAGGCTCTTTGGCTTAGAAGACAGAGAGCTATAACTTCTAACACTGATACTTTGCTCTTCAGTCTCTCTGAATGGACAGCTGTTATAACTCAAAACAGTATAGGCCTGGGAAGAGTTGATGGTGAAAAGCAGCTGTATTTTTATACCAAATGGAACTTCTTAGCAACAGATTGGACTACTTTGTCGGGCAAAGTGGTCTTCAGACAGGTGATGCTGTTGGCTTAAGAGATGAACATGTCAGGCCGGGCGTGGTGGCTCAAGCCTGTAATCCCAGCACTTTGGGAGGCCGAGGCGGGTGGATCACGAGGTCAAGAGATCGAGACCATCCTGGTCAACATGGTGAAACCCCGTCTCTACTAAAAATCCAAAAAAATTAGCTGGGCATGGTGGCACGTGCCTGTAATCCCAGCTACTCAGGAGGCTGAGACAGGAGAATTGCCTGAACCCAGGAGGTGGAGGTTGCGGTGAGCCGAGATCACGCCATTGCACTCCAGCCTGGGTAACGAGCGAAACCCCGTCTCAAAAAAAAAAAAAAAAAACAAAAAAAAAAAACATGTCTTCTCTGAATTTTTTTTATTGGTTTTACTTGAACAGAAATGTCTGGATGGTATCATGAAGATTGTTTAGAAAAGTGATTGGATCCATTTGAATTGTGCACTTGAACACCAGTGATGTAAATGTGCCTAATTGTATTTTAATTTTTAACTGTGTAGCCTTACCACACCTGTTTTGAAAGCTGATCTTTTGTGCTCTCCAGGGCTTTCCTCCTTGTGCCATGTTGTCTCCAGCATGTTTGTGGCTTCTCCCTCAGAGCTTCTGCTGAGGCAGGGCCTCTCACTGAGTCACATGGCTCCTTGGAACAAGAAAACTTTCTCAGAAGTCCTCCCACACAGGTGGGTGATAGAAACAGTTTGTGGCAACACAAATCTCTCTCCATGGTGGAGAAACCTTTGCTTATCCACTGTATTCTACTCAGTGTATAGAGATGACAAATGTACTAGAATTAAACCAGTCAAGTGTACTGGCCCGGGGTGAGTGTTAAATGTGTATCTCGCCTGTGGAACCTACTCAGCAGCTTGGTTTCTGGGGTTGGGGACATATTTATTTCTTAAAACCAAACCTCTCCTTTATTGGTTTAGTGTACATAAGTCTATTTAGATACACTTATCCCACTTTAACCTCCGCCAGCCCCTAAACTCTCTCCTGTAACCTCTGCTGCTGAAGTGGCCTCTTCACTTGGGCCCTGGAAAAGCCCATGGGAAAAAAAGTGTGTTCCTGCAGCCAAGGCCTGGGTTCCAGGTGACTAAGAGTAGCCATAGGAAGGTGAGTAAGGAGAAGTGGGCATGTGGTGTCTGTAGTCCAAGGTCTCTGTGTCTCGTTAGTGGGTGCAGGGCCTTCCCCCTCAGGTGTGAGCATGATGGACTCTAGACTGCCTTCCATGAGCGTTGGTCATGCTGTGATGCCATCATCTGCCATTAAAACCCAGTTTGTATGATGCCAAGAGGATTGTTAAATTGTGCAAGTGACTGATTCATTTAAGTTGTAATCACATCCCTTTTCTGCTTCACCAACCTGAACTGTTTTAAAAAGTATCATTAAAAGTCTGTTCTCTTTACTTTTGCCTTATTTCTGAACACCTTTTTTCAGTGGAGCCACATAAATCATGATGTACTTACTCAAGCTGTGGGCCTTCTCAGTCAACAGAATCCCCACGCTTTGGAGCTGCTGTACCCAGGCCAGGATGAAGTAACCTGTACTGGCAAAGTGAGGGCCAGGAGATTAGTGCCTGCAGTCAGGTGTCTGAGGTCCCACTCACCCTTACCCAGTGAAATCCTTCTCAGTATCTTGTGACTACTTAGAAAAACGAGGCCCCTTCCCTCCCCTGTAGAGCTAGACTCTGCTCAGAGCCCCAATACTGGTGCCTCAGGGTAAAGGATACTGGTCATCTTTTAGGGTAAAAACAGGCAAATAAGTGCTGTTAAATAAACCTCCTGCTTACAGTAAGTTCCTATAGACGACCTCTCTGCCCCCATGCCTCCTGCAAACAGAACCACGTTCTTCATTTGCCTGGTCTTGTCAGTCTTCTAAAGTTGAAGACACAGATGCCTGCAGCTCAGATTGTTCTGCATCCTTGTTCCATGGGGCACATTCTCTTTTGGCAGCCATGCTGCTCAGAGGCTGCGTGGTTGCTGTTGCTGCTGCCAAACACCATCGCTCCCAAGAAGGCCGAACTGGCAGACCCCTCTGCAGCAGGCAGGAGCACATCCCCAAGCCCCCGCCAGCCCCTGCCCCCTGCCCCGGGGCCCAGGAGTCCAGGATGCTTCCTGCAGCCTACCTGGAGGAAGAACAGAGGGGCAAGGCTTTAAATGTGCTTCCCTGCCAATCTTTTGCCATTCCAGCAGGGCTGCAGTAGTACAGCTTGGAAGCCACGCTGAAGCACAGTGACTCTTAGCGGAAGGCACAATGACCACTCTCGCCTTGCAAGAAGTTGAAAGAATCCCTATTCCTAAGGGTCAACCCTCCGAAAAGCATTGGTTTGAGGCAGATAGGGGAGGGAAAGTGGAGATAACATGGCTTTCTAATCACACCACCTGTGTGGTATTGCAGCATACATTTTAAGTGAAGAAGTACACCTAGACAGAGTGTCAGCTATAATTTAGAACTAAATTGATGAGCTTGAAATAGCAGCAGTGGCTGGCTCCCCTTCCTTGAGAAATGGCTTCCTTTTGACTGTTCCTTGGTCTGTTTTTAAGAGAGTCCCTCCATTGCACTTCATCTTGGCATGGTGGAGTAATGGAGACAGAGGGGGACCAGCTGAGGCTGGCTTCCTAGGAAAGGCACTGACTACAGTGGCTACTGTCTTCTTTGATTGCCTGCTGCCTTAAAGGCAAAGCTGCACCAGCCCTGACCAAACCTTAGTTCCAGAAGTGAGTTCAGCATAGGTTGCTTCACTTCTGTCCATGGAAAAACCAAAAGGATTCCCCGTTCCCTCTTATTCCTAATGGGAGAACAAACAAAAGTAACCACTGAGGTGGTAGTCTCTGGGCTGGCAGAGGAAAACCGTTCTCTCCTCAGTACTGCCTATTGCCTAGGGAGAATGTGGCCTACACAGCTGCACTGTATCAGCATCCCCCAAGCAAACCGAAAAAACGATGCCAGGGATTCAAGGCAGGGAAGTTAAGGTTGGGGCTAGATTTAGGAGTGAAGCAGCATTAGGAAAAGGATCTGCCATATTGTGAGGCTTTGAGTACTCAGGAAGAGAGAGCATCACTGACATTACCTCCAGGAAACTTCTCTAGGGTGGAGTCAGAGAGGGAAGGGATTGTCCACTGATTTCTCCAAGAGGAGATGGAGGGCACTCAGAGCAGATGGTTTGTGGTCAGCTTAAAGGCAAAGATGGTCTAAAATACTGAACTTAAAATTGTTTCAAGCAGTTTCACATTAAGAGCTACCTCATCTATCTTGACATTTTGGGAAATACAGGTTATATAAAGTAGAAGGCCATATTGGTGGGAAAATGTAAAGCCAAGTAAGCTTCAATTTAAAACACAGACATACTCAGTACTGCTTGACCAAAACTACAAAAAAATCAAACCAAACAAAAACCGCACCAAACCAATAAAACACAACTCTGGAAAGAAACTACTCAAGTAAAATCTTTTATAAACAACTCAGGGTAAAAAATCTAGCTGTTGATGAAGCCCAGAAAAATCCCCCTGCCTAGAGGAGGGCAGCAGGACTTGAAGGTCGACCAGCCTAGCCTGGAGACCATTATTCTATGGCACAAAAATAACTGGAAAGAGGCATCAGCCAAGGACTCTGCTTACAGCACAGAACTCACAACTGTCACCCTTCACTCTTTACACACAACAGACTTCTTCCTACGAAGGATGCAGCAAAAGATTCACAATGATGTACTAGAAAATCAAAACAGTTAACATTTACAATTAGACTCCTTCCCCAGGAATAGGGACTGCAAACCCAGACAGAGCTGGCCTGGCCACTGCCTCCCAATGAAAACGCCTTGGGAAAAGCCAAAAGTGCTCACTACCAAACACCATTGTCAGCTAAAGGGCAAAGAAATCCCTTTTAAGGAAAGTAACTTCAATAGGCTGCTTTTCTGCCAGGATTTTCAATCCCTCTGAACATAAGCCGAGCCACAGACTGCCACACGTATGTCTGGGTCCTGCCGTTTCTTCCCTCACCCCTCCGTAGAGCTTCAGCACCAGTTGTTAGCCAAAAATAAACACCATTCCTTAACCATATATGTCCACTGGCAGCCCAGAACTGGGGAGGAGAGGAGGCAGGTCAGCCCGTCCCCTAGCTGCAGTCACACTCACACGTGGCCGCTGCTCACCATGCACATAACCCAGCTCAACCGGGAGTGCCTGCTGCACCTCTTCTCCTTCCTAGACAAGGACAGCAGGAAGAGCCTCGCCAGGACCTGCTCCCAGCTCCACGAGGTGTTTGAGGACCCCGCACTGTGGTCCCTGCTGCACTTCCGTTCCCTCACTGAACTCCAGAAGGACAACTTCCTCCTGGGCCCTGCTCTCCGCAGCCTCTCCATCTGCTGGCACTCCAGCCGTGTGCAGGTGTGCAGCATTGAGGACTGGCTCAAGAGTGCCTTCCAGAGGAGCATCTGCAGCCAGCACGAGAGCCTAGTCAATGATTTCCTCCTCCGGGTGTGCGACAGGTAGGCCACCTTGCCTCCTGAGCAGTGCTGGCCCCGCTAGCTCTGGCTTCCCTCTTGGGGGGGGCAGGCAAGAGCAAATTATGAGACCAAGATGGCTCCACCTTGGGGGTGCCTCAAACTAGGCCCAAGGCAGACATCCAGGCCCACCCAAAACACAGTCCCCAGTAGACAGATACAATCCTGAGGGAAACCACTGCTAATCCTCAGCCTCACAGGTCCTGGAGCTGCTTCATGCAAACACCAAGAAGTGGGGCCTCAGTTGTCCCTGCCCTTCGGGCAGCTGTCCTCCCTGGTAGTCATTAAGTGCTGGGTAGGTCCATCTGGGCCTGGATTTTCAAGGTCAGGCTCTGGGAAAAGGCTTCCAGATACAGCCATCAGCTCACCCTTCCATTAGGCCTAGCAAACAGCCCCTGAGGCCTGGGAAACGCTGCAGAGGAAGGAGACGGGGGAGCCAGGGTCCTCGGGTCAGCTTAGCCAAACCAGACTCCCGGAGAAGATGAATTACTGATTTACACAGTACTCCTAGGGAGGGTGACTTAGCCTAATTTTTCAAATTGGCAAACTGATGCTCCATGAGGTGGTGAGATTTGCTCACAGTCTAGGGTTGCCAGATTTTAGCAAATACATAGGCTGTCCAGTTAAATATGAATTTCAGATGAACAGTACTTTTTTTTAGTATATGTCCCAAATACATGTTGTGTGTATCTGCTAACCCCACCCCAGACACAGATGCTGAACCACCAGGCCAGGATCCCTCCGTTGTCCCAGCCTCATGGGTAGAGCCGCCCAGGAAACAACAGAGGTACTCAACGAGCCTCTCACTGAGCTTCTGCCAGTCCTGTGCTGCCTTTGAGGAAAAACACCCCCTTGATCACTTAAACTGGGCCTGGCTGTCCATGGAAAACTAAGCTCAGCCAGTTTACTGCTACCCAAGTTCACAGCTGCTATTTGCTGGCAGCACAACAGGAGTGGAAGGAAATAGCGCAGTGACCCCACCTTTCTTTTGAGCTGGTAGGAAGGAAACAGAAGATGGACTTAGGGCTGGGTCCTGGCTGGACAACGCCATTTTGACAGGCTTAACAAGGCCCAGGAATCAGACTAGAGAGTGATATTGAGGGTGGGGGCAGACGCATAGCAGAACGAGTCCTGAAGTTGTTTCATTCTTACTCTACCAGAACCGAGCTTCATGCCCCCAATCTGCGAGGTGTGGAGTGGACCACCCAGGCCTCTGTACTGGTAACGCAAGGGGCCCTGCTGTCACATAAAAAGCAAAGGGCTTGGCTATCGGGGCTCTCTGCTGAGCTGCCCAGTGCATCCAACCATGTGACCCCAGCTCCAGTATCTAAACTCTTGCAACCTTATTTCTTCTGTAAAATGTGCTAAATTTTCCTTATCCCACAGGGTAAGAGGATTAAATGACACAGTGGCACCTGGCACATAGTAGGCACTGATGAACGTCTACCGAATCTGGTTCTTCGGGCACACAGCTCAGGTTGGGAGGAATGGCTGAGGATAGCTAGGCAGGGGACAGTCGGCTCCCCCCCACCCCATTAGAATTATTCAAAAGGTTCTTATGGAAACGATCATCCAACACCTTTGAGGCTTAAACACCTAATCCTTATAACCACCTTGGAGGTAACAATTCCTCCCACTTCACAGATAAGGAAGTGGCACCCAGCAAGGTTCAGGCATCTGTCCCGGGTCCGCAAATAAATCACGGGCCAGTCACTTGGGCTCCCTGGGCCAGCTGCCTCATGAACAAAACTGCGGGTGTAGAGGTTGAATGGGGTGAGGAACGAAGGCACATGAACCTGAAGGAGGCCTAGGCTCTGTGTGAAACGTGGCTGGGTCCAGCATATTTTAGTTCCTTACTTCCCAGGCCAGCCACCAAGGAGCTCAGCTGGCCCAGCGGGGGCAGTCGCGGAGCTGCAGAGGCGGCTGGCAGGGAAAGGGAATCCCTTCCCCAGACCAGACTCCAGCTCCTCCTTGCTGTGGAGAGCCGAGCCCCCTGGGCCCATGAGTCGGTCCTTCTGGACTGGAAGCGGCTAGTCCCGCGCATTATGACTGCCTGTGGAGGGCCCGGCTGCAGGCTCCTCACAACCCCAGCGGTAGATGTTATTCCCCCGACGCAGAGGAAAGCAAGATTCTGGGAGTGACAGACATGGCGACAAGCCAAGTCTAACTTGGCTCAAGATCTTTTCTCGCTGGGAGGGGCTGATGAGGCGGCAAAAGTGGGTCCCCCCAAGCTTTCTGGGCAAGCGACCTGGGTGCCCCTGACTGTACCTGCTCAGGGCCTGCCTCGAGCCGCCTCCGATCTCTGCCCTTTTCCAGGCTGGTGCCCCAGGGGAGGCAGGAACAGCTCTAGTCAACTAAGCTGAACCCGGAGTCAATGCTGACGCCTGCTCCCACCACCGCGAGGGTTGGGATGGTCCTGTCACTAAGCCACCTACAAGGAACAAATCCCTCTTCCCGCTCACGTCCCGCCGGTACATTCAGGGGCCTCAACTTGAAGCTAGACTGGAGCAGTGGCCACGCACTGCTCCCCTGCAAGCCAGCACGTCCGGAGCTAAACAAACAAGGGCTGTGGCTCCTGAAACGGGCCATTCCCTCTGTCCACAGCCGCCCCAGGACTCTGCTGAGCCGGGGTCGGAGCTTTCCCACCAGGGGCTCCTCAGGCTGCGAGCCACGAACCCACGTAGATGAAGGTACGCTGAGATGCAGGGGCAGAAAGAGCAGGGAAAATGGGCCGGCCAGAAAGCTGACTTGGAACCCTGCGAGTCGTCGCAGCCAAGTGTCTTCACTTCGCAGGCCCCGAGTCCTCGGTAAATAAATACGCCCAGTCCCCCGCGGCGGTTGGGTGGCTTCAACGAGCCAGTGGGCCCCGGTTCACCGCGCTTTCCCCACAGGTGCCCCAATCTGGCGTCCCTCACTCTGTCGGGCTGCGGCCACGTCACCGACGACTGCCTGGCGCGCCTGCTCCGCTGCTGCCCACGCCTGCGCGCACTGCGCCTGGAGAACTGCGCGCGCGTCACCAACCGCACGCTAGCGGCCGTGGCGGCGGATGGGCGCGCGCTGCAGACGCTGCACGTGGACTTCTGCCGCAACGTGAGCGCGGCCGGCCTGCGCCGCCTGCGCGCCGCGTGCCCGCGCCTGGCCCTGCGCGCCGAGCACAGCGCCGCCATGCTGCCCGACCAACCCCCGCGCCCGCGCGCGCCCGCCGCGGCCCTCGGCAAGCTGCTGCAGCGCTAGATACCGCCCCGCCGCGGCCCCCGCGGAAGGAGCGCAGCCCCAGACCATCCTGGTTTCGACCCCAGCTCTTCCACCTTCCAGACCAGCACCAAATCTGAGCCTCAGTTTCCCCGTCTGCACAGTGGGGATAACAATGCCTACCTCACGTTACGACATTATACCCAGAGGAACGCAAGATTAAATGGATGTTTGGAAAAGACTCGGCTGGTTCTCACTCAACATCACCGCCTTTCCCCTCTAGCTTCCGCCCCAGCTCTGTGCGGTGCGCCCCCAACGGCAGCGCGAGGTGCCTTGCCGTCCTCGAGGACTCTGCTCGCCGCTGGGTAGAAATCACCTCGGTGGGGAGGGCCTCACCACTCGGGGGCTTGCGCCCGGGGCTGAGAGGCCAGGGCTGCCATGCGCAGGGGCCTGGAGAGCCTCCGGGCGGAGCGACCCCTCGAGACCCAGCCGGCTCCCGGAGTGTCCTGGGGACCGTCGCTTCCAGGGGCCCCCGGTAGTGATCTCGGTGAAGCAGGAGGAGGGAAAGCCGGGTGCCCCTCCCTGCGGTTTGCCAGCGCGCGCGCCTGCCTACTCGCCTTTGCTGGGACAGATGAGTTCCCGGAGTGACCGCACTCGCTATTGTAGAAAATTCTCTCCCAATTGTTGAATTCTTACATAAAATGCACAGTTACCCATATTTTCTACTGTTCTCATCTCATAAGGGAAAAATAAATGATTTGGAAAAACAAAAAACCCTCAAACTAAATATTCAAAAACAAAAGCAGCAGCCTTGGCTAAGCTTTTGATAATGGAACCGTTATAAGCTGATGACAAGCTAGATTTTCACCTGTTGGATTTGCTGGACACGAGCACAAGCCTGGACTTCCCATTTCAATTTCAGGGCTGTAGTGACTGGCGTCCCACACTTAGTGAAGGCTCTCGCCTCCCGGCAGCCGCCCGGTCCTGGGTCCCTGCGGAGAATTCTGGGTGGGTGGAAGAGGCGGGGAGCACCGTGGCGCTGCTCACGCTCCGGCTCCACCCAGCCCCAGCTGTAACAAAGCCCTTCACCCATCCTAGGCCAGGTGTGAAAGAGGAGCTTGATCCCTACTCACAGGTTTCTTAATTCATTGCTCAAACAGGGAAACAGCAAGGAAAAAGACAAATTCTGTTCTCATGAAGATTACGTTCTAGCAGAGGGAGAGACAACAGGTAACTGGTATGCAAGAGGGTAGAAATTATTACGGAAAAAAGTGCAGGCTGTAAGGGGCTATCGGGGATTGCTGGCAAGAGACTGGGGAGTGGAGTGAAGCCTCTGAGACAAAGGGTTGACCAATGTAAGCTTCATTGAGATGACATTTGAGACATAAAAGCCAGAGAGCCAAGCAAGCAAGACATGTGGAAGGAAGACACCGGCAGTGCAGAGGAACTGTCAGTGCAGAGGCCGCGGACTGCAGGTGTGGATCGTGTTAGGCGAACAGCAAGGTCAGAGTTGCTGGAGCAGAGTGAATGAGGAGGGAAGCTGAGTAGCAGATACTCAGAGAAGGAATGTATCCTGCAGCTTAACTCCAACATGCATTTAAAATTTTTTCCCCTTTCTCTTGGATTTCAAGATACAACCTTGAGGCAACTGCAAAAGCCGATCCTCAGCCTTAAAATAGACTCCATGTCCCTCCCTTTTCTCACCATATATGCCCCCTTTGCATTTATCTAACTGTATGCTACTATCTAATTATGTCATGTCTTAGAAGTTTCAGGGGCTAATCTTAAGTCTGGAAACCCAGCTGTAAACCTCCAAAAATTACTTCAAAATGGCTAATTAACCACCTGGCCGTTGTTAAAATAACGTCAATCTGAGGTCCAGGTAGACTGAAACCCAAGATAGCCACCAGAACAAAACAGACATCATACTCAGCCCAGTTCTTATACACCTTCCTTATCAAGTCTTTCCTTTTAAAACCCCTAAAAACTTTCCCCCCTAAAAACAAGCAGTTAAAGAGCAATCCGACTACTTCCCCCTTTTCTAGCTTGGTTAATAAATTTGATTTTATTACCAGACCTCGCTCTTGTTAATTCAAGCATCTGCACCTGTTTCGTTCAGTTACAGTAAGGGATGGAGGTAGCAGTGAATAGACAGATTAATGTGAGGATGAAATGAGAGATGAACGTTCCCACTCCGCCCAACCTACCCCCAGCAAGAACCAGGGCCCCATGCACAGATGGTAGGTGAAGTCCCAGGGGCAGTGGATTTTTTTTCCAGGCAGGACAGGTGAACAGGCAACCAGCACCCTGTCCTACCCCAGTCCCTTTGGGGACTGCTGAAGGGCCCCTGGCTGGGGCAGTGCTTACTCCAGAAACAGGGTAGCCACAGTAAGCCCTGGCCAGAATAATCTCTTCTAATCCCTGTGTTGGGAGAGCCAGCTCTGTCACACTACCAGCTGCAGTGGAGTGGCAGGACCCTACTACTAGCCCGTGAGATCCAGGCTGCTTCTGGGTGACTTCCCAGTTTGCCCACCACTGCTTTGTAATCTGGAGAGGCCTTGTTGGGAATGAATTTTTCTCCTGTTACTCTGAACACTGTTGAAAGCAAGCTCAGGCTTCCAGAGGGTTGAATGTTTGTCTGCAACAGAGCCACTTACTCCCGAGGGCTTTGTTTTCATCATCTCCAATAAGCCCTGATTCCCAGTATGTCCTATTTGTCCTAAATTGGTGGCTTAGCCTGGAGAACAACAGGATCCTGGCTTCAGGATCTAATGGATCTGGGTTTCCATCCCATTTCCCTCACTTTATAGCCCTGTGACCAGAGATAGAAGGCCCTCTCCAAACCTGTTTTCTTATCTGAGTACTAAAGATAACAAGGGAACCTTGCTTTTGGAGTTCTTGTAAGGATTGCGATTGACTGTGTAAAGCAGAGGTCACTATAGGTTGAGCTAGAATGGGGTAATCTGCATTCCCTGAAGGCCTCCCTTTACCATGGAAGCTCTTTTGTAGATGAGGGTTAAGTTCCCAGGTTAACCCTCCAATGCCCATTAACCCCCTTGCATCCCAAGGCATAATGATCACAGAACTCAAGCAGGGCTCACAGCTGTGTCCAGTGCTGTTTCTAGGGATCCAAACTGGCCCCCACCTAAGCCAGATGAGCTTTGGGTTCTGAAAGTGAAGGGTCATTTCAGGTGACTCCAGAAGGTGGGCACTGATGGAGACACATGGCTCTCCACTCTACCTTCTAACAATCACTGTTCACCATCACCAGGCATGAGCAAAGCACGTAACAGAGTGCAATAACTCACTTAATCTAAAACACCACTTTTGTAGCTTCCAGAGAGCTACATGCATGGAGGTCATGGAGGGTGGCATGCCCAGGGAAGGAATGGAAGCTCTGTGCCCCTTCCCTGATTAATTAAAAAGTTAAAAAAAAAAAAAAAAAAGAAAAGAAAAAAAGAAAAACCCTTTCAGACTCAGGTTAGCATAGAACAAAGGGTCCTGCAGGCTAAATTAATCCACCAACGAATTCATCTCACCAGCATTTACTGGGTATTGTGCATGCATTGGACCAGGTCCTACCTGAAGAACTCAGTCCTAGTTGGAAGACATGCAGCTGAGCTTGAAGGGTGCTCTTGAGCAATCTCCAAGCTTTGCTGTCATAGCTTTTGACAAGATACGACCTCTCTGAGCTTCAGTTTATTTGTAAAATGAGACCAATACTCTCTCTGCGACATTGTTAAAAGATTATGTCTAAATATGCAGGGCCTGGAAGTCAGGGATAGGGGAAGGTACCTTCATATCCATGGCGGGGGCTAGAAAAGCTGACAGCCTGGCACAACCCACAAGTCCCAGGCACTGGAAAGCAGTAAGCCAGGTCTATCTGTCAGTAAGCCAGGCATGCGTTGTGGCAGACAGAGCTTTTGAGCTGGGCCTGTGGGCTGACCCCAGTTCCCACAGGTTCCAACTCTAAGGAGGATGTTCCCAGTGGCAGACGTGGCACAGTAAAGGCAAAGGTCAAGAAGCCCAAGGCATATCCAGGGAAGGGCGAGCCAGGGCTGATGGGAGCCTGATTGTGTTCTCAAGCCACCCAGAGATGGCTTGGGATTATTTATGCCCTCACGTTCTCAATTAGATCACAGACGCCCCTCAACTCCGGGAATGCGAACTTTTTCAAAGGTTTGGCCAAGGCAGCGAATGGTCACGTGCAGGAGGAATAGGTGGTTGGGAGAGAACTGAACCTCAGCGCTAGGGCAGGACACTGATCCCTGGCTGGAGGCTGGCCTGTTACCACGTTGCGCTGCTCTGCACACGAGCCCCAGTGCCAGCAGAGAGACCAGGGGCACAGGCCCTTAGGTCAGGAGGTGGTGCGCTGAGCCTTGTCTTGCAGGGACACACTGGCTTGTTTCTGCACAGGATGAGTGTTTGGAAGGGAAGTGACTGAGCGTCCCCGGCCCTACCACGGAATGCTGACAAAAAGCAGAGACTCCCAGTTCTCGCCAGGGTGTACCTGTGATCCAGCTTTCCCTCTCCTGATCTTGGATTCTTGGTTTATACAGGCAGAGATCATCTGACCTCTTCGAGACTTTCCCTTCAGCTCTAGGATGCAATGCCTAAGATCTGCTTTTGGCTAAAACCCAAGCTCACCAGATGTAGGCTTCATCTGGCCAGAAATCCTGGGCAAAGGTCATAAAGCTAGGAGGCCCAGAACAAAGTCATACTTTGAAAGATGTCTGGAGAAATCTTAAATTTTAAAAACTGACAAAGTTTTCTTGAGACTGCTTAAGGGTCTTAAAAACTGCAAGTATTTGTTAAGTGAATGAGGCCAGCAAACAAAAAACTGCCTAAGTCTCTCTAAGGGCTGAAAGTGAACCAAGGAAAGCGCCTGCATCAGGTCCACTGCAGCTCCTCAGATCAGGGACTTGTGCTTCCCCCTCTTCCAGATTTTTCGAAAAGTCAAGAGAGGCGGGGCACAGTGGCTCACATCTGTAATCCCAGCACTTTGGGAGGTCAAGGTGGAAGGACTGCTTGAGGCCAGGAGTTCCAGACCAGCCAGGGAAACACAGTGAGACCCTGTCTCTGCAAAAATGAATAGTCAAGACAATGAGGAAATAACAAGTTTCTGGCAAAGAAATAGTGTGTGTTATAAAACCACAGCACTGTGCCAATTCCTCTCACAGGGGCAAACCTGAGCAGTTGTCTCTTAGCCCTGAGCCCAGGACCTGCAACCACAGTGCCAGCCTTCTGGGGGTGCTCCTGCCTCTCAGTCCAGAGCAAACCGTGGCAGTGGCACAGGATGAGGTGTTATTTTGAATTTAGAGACTGCAGATGTATCCTTTGCTCTGCATGTCCTCAGCCCAGCTCAGCAAGAGGGAGGTAGGAAGCGACTCAGAAGATCCTAAGAGGCCTCCCCTGGATCATCCAGGATCTTGGAAGCACAGATGCCTTTCTTTTCTTAGATAAATTCTCTCCTGGTCCAGAGACCCAGGCAGGGTCTTGCCACCTCCAGCAGAAAGACTTCAAGCCCAGAGCCCTTCAACAATGCTACTGACTATGCTCTTAGTATTAAAGGCTCATCTTTACCCAGAACTCCTGGGGTTCCCCCCAAAGCTGTAATCTCCCTCTGAGACCCAATTGTAGTTGAAGTCTTTTAAAAAATAACACAAAGAAGACATCATTCTAAATATTATTAGGTATTCTCACTAGGAAAGATTCATTTACCATATTATCTTAGCTGGCAAAACTGTATT